TCTGAGTCTGTCTGTCCTCCGTCCGTCGGGGGTGAGTGTGCCCTTGGCACGGACGTCCTTGAGGACAGGCAGGAGGAGTTCCAGTGTCTGGCAGCTGCCTCACCTCATCTCGTGTCCGTACTGCTTACCCCTGAGGGAGACCCGGATGCACTTGACATCCCGACTCCGCGCTCTTACGCGGAGGCGATAGAGGGTCCCTACTCCTCTCAGTGGCAGGCAGCTATGGATGCAGAGATGGCTTCCTGGAAGTCCACAGGCACCTACGTTGACGTTGTCCCCCCTCCTGGGGCGAACATCGTCAGTGGCATGTGGATCTTCAGGGTGAAGCGGCCGCCGGGTTCTCCGCCTGTCTTCAAGGCGCGTTACGTGGCTCGTGGCTTCAGTCAGCGGCAGGGAGTTGACTACTTTCAGACCTTCTCCCCCACCCCGAAGATGACCACTCTTCGGGTACTGCTGCATGTTGCTGCTCACCGTGACTACGAGCTGCACTCTCTTGACTTCAGCACAGCTTTCTTGCAGGGCAGCCTGCACGAGGAGATCTGGCTGCGTCGCCCACCTGGCTTCACTGGGTCTTTCCCTCCTGGTACCCAGTGGAGTCTCCGGCGTCCAGTCTACGGTCTCCGCCAGGCGCCACGTGAGTGGCACGACACACTGAGGACTACGCTTGCGGCTCTTGGGTTTGCTCCTTCTACTGCAGACCCGTCGCTGTTTCTACGCACCGACACCTCTCTGCCGCCGTTCTACATCCTCGTGTACGTCGACGACTTGGTCTTTGCCACAGCTGACACTGCTGGACTCGCCTACGTGAAGTCCGAGCTGCAGAAGAGACACACGTGCACAGACCTGGGTGAACTGCGCAGCTACCTTGGCTTGCAGATCACCCGGGACAGAGCACGCCGCACCATTACCCTGACTCAGTCACACATGGTGCAGCAGGTCCTTCAGCGCTTCGGCTTCACGTACTCCTCGCCTCAGGCCACTCCTCTGTCTACTCGCCACTCGCTCTCAGCTCTGCCTTCGGATGAGTCCGTAGAGTCGAGTGGCCCGTACCCAGAGCTTGTTGGCTGCCTCATGTACCTGATGACCTGCACACGACCTGACCTTGCATACCCTCTTAGCATTCTTGCACGCTATGTTGCTCCTGGGAGACACAGACCAGAGCACATGGCTGCAGCGAAGAGGGTGTTGCGCTACTTGTGCAGTACGTCGGGCATGGGGCTAGTGCTTGGAGGGCGGAGTCCAGTGGTCCTCACTGGGCACGCGGACGCTTCTTGGGCTGACGACCAGGCTACGCAGCGGTCGTCACAGGGTTACACCTTCAGCCTTGGTTCCGGCTCTGTTTCGTGGCGGGCTACTCGCTCGTCTTCTGTTCTTGGCTCGAGTTGTGAGGCTGAGATCTACGCCGGGGCCATGGCTGCACAGGAGCTTCGCTGGCTCACCTACCTGCTGACCGACCTTGGAGAGCCGCCTCGTTCTCCTCCAGTCCTGTACGTAGACAACAAGGCCATGCTGGCCTTGTGTCGAGAGCAGCGACTGGAGCACAGAACAAAGCACATTGCTCTCCGCTACTTCCTTGCTCGTGAGCTACAGCAACGTGGACAGTTGCGGCTTGCGTACGTGGCCTCTGAGGCCAACACTGCTGATGTCTTCACCAAGGCACTTCCGCCTTGTGATCATCAGCGCTTCTGCACTCAGCTGGGTCTTGTGCCCGTCTTGCCTCACTTGCTCTCCTCTTGACCTTGCCTGTACTCTCACATATATATATACCTTCTCTTGCTTGTCTAGCTTTATATATATGTGTGTACTCTTGCATGTGAACTGGCCGTGTGGCCTTGACCCTGTGCTCGGACTGTGTGGTGACTTTGTGATCCACCCTGAGCTTGCTTTGCTTTGCTTTGCTTGACTGGTCTTGTGACCCCTTGTTCTCCCCCACTTTGCCTATGGGGGTGTGTCAGAACATTGTAGCTTATGCTGTTGTGTAGTCTATAGTGGGGTATCCCATAGGGGGTACAACCAATTAGGGTTTCATATTTGTACTCACATCATTTCATAGTTCACACATTCTCTCGTTCTCATTCTGACATGATGTAACCTGCATATTGGCGAATAAAATAAACGGAATCACCGTATTCAAACTACGATAACTCGAACGCAAAGCAAGCTAGAGGTGATAACAACACGACTCACCCGTAAATGTTGGTGTTGACGTGCCCGGCTGAGACGAACTTGGAACCTCCGTGCCGGCCGGCACGTTGACGTCCGTGGCGCCGCTGCCGTCCACCGCATGCGGTGCGGCTGCGGCGGTGTCCTGGTTGTGCAGCTCCAGGTACGGATACCACGGTGGTTTCTCAACCGAGCCGTGGCCTGACCCCCCTTCGCCACGCTTGTACTCCCGCCAGAGGAAAAGTAAAACAAAAAATAGCCAAAAAAACAAGGAAACACAAAAAGCAGTCACATATACACATAGACGCGCTCACGCGCACGCAAACACACATGCACGCACGCACCTAAGGACACACACACACACACACACGCACGCACGCACACACACACATATACATACATATACACACATACGCACGCGCGCACACACACACGCACACACATACACACACACATACACACACACACATACACGTACACACACACACGCACGCACGTACGCACGCACGTACGTACGCACGCACCCCCCCACACACACATACACACACACAGACACACAAACACGAACGCACGCACTCACGCACGCACGCACGCACGCACATACACAGACACACACACACACACACACACACACACACACACACACGCACATACACACACACAATCATACACACGCACGCACGCACACGCACACACACGCGCGCGCACACTCACACACACACACACTCAGAAACACACACACACACACACACATACAGAGAGGTTAAACTTAACCTCGGATAGTAGACCCGACGAAATATAGTGTGTGATTGATACTAGTTGGTCACGATAATAACAAGGTCCCTCATGTTCGTCATCTGTCGTCAACGCCACGAAGTCAAAATGTCCTACTAGTGCACTTACAATGCAAGAATCGAGGATTTCCCTCGTATATCTTATGGATCAATTGGGGCAGACAATGCAGTTTCCTGTGACACGTTCCAATCCGAGTTGACACGATCCGAGCCGATCAAATGCGGTATGGTCCAAGTTATTACCCAGATTCCCATACACGTGCAAACTCCCACCTTCACATCCCATCAATATTCTCCCTTGTTCCCTTTTCCCCTGCTTAGTTAGGACCACACCCCTTCCCCCACCCTTACTCCAATTTTGGTCGATAAATTTGTCGTGCGACGGTTTTCCCAAGGAGCTTCTGTTTGTTTGTCGCTCGTTGAAGGTTTGGTGCGGGCAGCTGAGCAGCACGTACAGTAGGGTACAGCAGATGTCTCATGTTGTCGTCACCCACACATAGATCATTCTGTTCCGTCGAGCCACTACATAATTCTCCAAACATGATGGCAAGCAAATGCAAACGCGTGTGAAAAGGCCGTGCGGTCGAAATATGTATTCGTCTCCACACGCAGTCAAAGCATTCATCTCCACATACCCATGGCACTGCTGCACCAGTTCTGAGCCGACTGTGTCAGCTTTCTACTGTACTAGGCACCAAGGAGATGATTGTGAGTATATCTACCAATAGTTGTATGTCTTTCGTATCATACCAGGAGTTCGGACATGTTCAACCAAGTGTGACCAGCACGTTATGTTGATGTGCTCAAAAGTCTGAGGGTGTACAATCATCAGACGCCCTATAATAACCTTGTGATTCAATTGTTTCAAACAGGAACCCCAGTTGCTGACACATTGTCGAGAAGTGGAGAATGGGGATGGAGATGTTGTTGCAATGAGCTACTTTCAAGCTACACTGAGGGTGGAAAAGCTCCTCTGGACTGTCATCACTTTGCACAAACACTCCTCGGAATAAGTTGCTCTTCAACAATGGAGCCCCACGAAAGCCGACCACCTGACCTGACCTGACCTGACCCTCAAAGTCATGTTGGCGGTTTGGGTAAAGCATTTCAGCTGTGTTGTCGAACCTCCATACACTCAAAATACTTTACAAAACCTGCAAGAATTTGTGGCTTGTTACATCGGCTTCATCAATTCAAGTCCCACTAACGGTTTGGGCGTCGACAAGAGTTCAGTTTGCCTCTGTGGTTGCTATGTTACTAGCCAGGTAGCCAGGCTTGTTTACTAGCTTTTGTCTTTCTCCATGAGTTGAGATACTTTCCGACGGGCAGATGGCCCTCTGGGCGGGATTGCGAGTCTTTCTCAAATTAATTTAGCTAATGGCCGTCAGGATTTTACACAAAGAGGGGCTCTCGCGTTTCTTTTGAAGCACACTGCAATGACTATCTACTACTAGCGCGTAAGCATGTACCCAGGTTTCCGTGCAGAGGGAGTGAGTCAGCTGTGTTGTTCAACTCAGGGAGGTGTGGTGCACTCACGCCTGATCCAGAACGTATGGTCACCGCTCTGTACCATAGTATAATCTACACTGGAACACAAAATACCGTGTACAACCTCTCTCAAAGTACCGTCATTGGAAGCATCTGTGCTGGATGCACCACGCCCTCAGCTGAATTGGTTTGGTAAGATAAGACAGTAAGATGTTTGGTCGTTGAAATGCCTCACACAAACAAGCTACATTCCGGTGTTGTCGGATTAGCACTTGGAGCCCGCTCGCAATTCCTTAGTTGCTCCTGTGCTTACTGGGAGTGACGGCTGAAAGTAAATTCCTTACATACTCCACGACCATCCATTTCCACCATCCGCCCTCCTTTCCCTCCTCTCACCCTGCTCGTAGAATCAAGCCTTGCTTCGATCGGTACTTCGCAACAGCATTACTTTCTCCTAGACCCCTACATTGTGCGTCAACTTCGTAATCGCATTTCTGCTCCACTATTCGCGCATTGCACCAAAACATTCGGCAGCAGCAGCACATCGCAGCAGCCATGGCGCCACCACCGAACCAGCATCACCAACCTCATCCTCCCGCTCTCCCAACCGTTGCGGAATCGCGATGGGAAGACGAGCTCTCTCCTACAACCACATCCACCAACGGTGCGCCGATTTCTCCACTTCTACAGCGCGGCCCGCACTATTCCCTGCAGGATAAGGCACGAGCGGCGGCCGCGGCGTCCAAGGCAGCTGTCGTGACCTCCGCCGTTAGCGGCGCCGCCGAAGCGCAGCCCAATGCCGCACCTTACGCAAGCTCCAACACCGAAGGGGACTTCTCCTTTTCTGTTCCTTCAGCGGACCCCGACGGCGCAACATCCTCTCCTTCCGCTTCCACTTCGGATCCCCGCACAGCCTCCGCAAGCGCCGACGGCGACTCCGCTGGCAGCAACGGGGGCCAGCGCGCCCCTGCAAGACCGCTGCGGCCGCTAAGCATCGAGTACCCATCGGGAACGGCACCTGGAGCGCAAAAATCGCCGTCGAATGCGGAGTACACAAGCAGCAGCGCGGCCATTCCTCGGGCGATGCCACGTGGCCGCCGCACCGGCACGAGCCCGCACGGCTCTGGCGGTAATCTTGGAATAGCGGGGATCACGGGGATCGCGGGAAGCACTCGCGCGGCGGATGGCGGAGATGACGTGGAATCGCTGCTTTCTCCTGGAATGCTGCATTCTAACCACCCTAATCTCTACCTCCCTAATCCGAGGCCGTCTCCTAGGCTCGCGGCGCATCCGCGGCTCTTCCCGCGGGGTTTGACGTCGCACCCGTCGTCATCCAACCTCTCGTCGCTGGATGCGCTTCGCGATTGGTTTTCGTCAACATTCGCGCGCCCCGCTGGCGGAACGCCATTGAGTTCGCCGACCGCTAACGGGACGGGGGACAGGGGAGGGGGAGGTGGTGGAGGGGGAGGGTTTGGCGGAAAGGTTTCGGCGCATGTTTGGTTGCTGGTCCTGCTGATTGCCGCGGTAGGGTTGGTGGTTGGGGTGATGGTGTGTGTGTGGCTGGTGGTGCTAGCGAAAAACGGCGATGGTGGTAACCCGGAAGATTACCTCATCCCCCTCGGGCCGCATTCGTTGCGAATGAACGAAATTCAAGTTGTGGGGAGTCGCAGGAGTTACCACGTGGCGCCCGAACCGGAGGTGTTTAGGTGGCTGCGGGACAACGGAATGATGTCGTTTGCTCGCACGACGAATTTCACGCACAAGCCGTTACAGGAGCAGCTCTCGGCAGGTTACCGTTATATACACCTCGATGTAAGTCGGTTCGAGTGGTAAAGATTCGGTGCCTGATCAAGAATCGCAGGGGCAGATAAACCAATCCATAGGTTAATTGAGTTCGGAAAAAAATAATGGTTCAAGAATCGTATATTTTACTCAGGTTTCCACAGGGTATATCTCAAAAACGCTCAAACTGCTCCACCGAATTTCCCCCCCCTATCCCTGCCCTGGCCCTCTCTGTCCTCTGTCCCAGCCATAAACTTCCCAACCCTCCTTCTCTCCTCCTTTCTCCGCCCTTTCTCCCCCCACCAAACCAGGTGCTGTATGATCCCGAGGGGAGGCGCTACTCCTCCCCTAACGTGTACCAGCGCATAGACCCAGCGAACAACACTCAACTCAATCTCAACCAGCCGGGCTACAAGGTGCGTGAGTGTTTGCACGTGAGGAAGAGAAAAAGGTGTGTGCCCCGAGTGTGGGAGGACTGGATTGAAAAATGTGAAGGGGAACGGGGGGGTGGGGTGGGGGGTAAAGGGGGTAAAGGAGGGGGGTGGGTATGTGTATGTGCGCGCCTGTGCTCCCCACGTGCCAGCCTTGTATAAATGTATGAAAGGACACGGGCATGGGAAGGCGGAATTCACACATGGTAGCGAAGGAGCTGTGCTGTGCGTTGTTGTCAACCCAGTTGTGCCGTAATGGACGGAATGATGCTTGCAGTGGCTTGGCTTGGTTAGTCATGTTATAAATAACCAAAAGCAGAGCACCAAGAAATGCAGCATTAACCCGAAAGAGTAGATTGCCCCTCCCTCCTTCCCTAAAGGCAGAGTTTTCCATCTCCACCTCCCCCCCCTCCCGCACCCCTTTTTCTCTTCCTCTTGAGTTATTCGTTTCCCGACTCATTCCCATAACTTCATCCCTGTCCCCAATTGGGCACTCACCTTTCAATAGCCGCACATGGGCTAGTTACCCTCTTGTGGGCTAGTTACATGTGCATCGTGGACTATTTGCCCTCAAATCGGCTAGTTACCATCGCATGTGCTCGTTACCCAGTAAAATGCTACTTACACTGCTTCCCCCCCCTCTCTGCACACCTCCCTCTCTCTCTTTCCCTCCCTTAAAACAATATCATTCTGGTGACCAGCACCACCATGCACCACCACGCACCACCACGCACTACTGTGCACCACCACGCACCCCCGTGCCTGTCCACCCCTGTACCGACTGCCCACTTCCCTTTCACCATGCACGTCAACCCCTCTCCCCCTCTGTCCCTCCCCAACACCAGGTGATGCGCATGCAGGATGTGGATTTCCTCTCCACATGCGCCACGCTGCGCGACTGCCTGGCGGCAGTAAAAGCCTTCTCCGACCAGCACCCGCGGCACCTGCCCATCACTGTCAACATCGACTTCGGCGACGGCTTCCCGCTGCTGCGCAAGATCACCGAATTGCTCACACCGCCCCTGCCCGTCACGGAACAGGTGGGGGGAATAGGGCAAGTGTTGGGGGAAGTGGGATAGGGCATAGGGAATACCAGCGCCCGCGGCACCTGCCCATCACTATCGACATCGACTTCGGCGACGGCTTCCCGCTGCTGCGCAAGATCACCAAATTGCTCACACCGCCCCTGCCCTTCACGGAACAGGTGGGGGGAATAGGGCAAGTGTTGGGGGAAGTGGGATAGGGCATAGGGAATACCAGCGCCCACGGCACCTGCCCATCACTATCGACATCGACCTTGACGACGGCTTCCCGCTGCTGCGCAAGATCACTAAACTGCTCACACCGCCGCTGCCCGTCACGGAACAGGTGGGGGAAACAGAATAGAGTGCAGAAAATGCCTGTAGAAGAGCTGATGTTTCTAGCGTCGGCTTTCCGCTGCTAATCAATCTCTCTCAAGTGCTCACATGGCCATTGCCCGTCTCGGAACAGGTGGGGAAGATGGAGCAGGACAGGTGGTGGGGGATATGGAATAGTGCTAGTTTTGAGACGTCTCAAATCTCAAAACCGTCTCAAAACTAGTGCGTGAGGAATGCCTACAGCAGACCATCAAACGTTCAATAGTGCATGTTCCCTGTGTATGATGCTTGTTTCAATGGTGCATCTTCCATGTCCCTTCCATTTCTCCCTCTTCCGTTCCCCTCCTCCAACCAACCCACCCACCACAGCTTCCAAAAGAACATGTGATAAAGGATTGGTTGTGAAACGTTTCAATTAGACATCCTCTCCTTTGTCCCTTCCCCCTCAAATTCTATTGAATTTATAATTTACCTCCCCCTTCCCCACCCCCTGCCCCACCCCTTCCCCCTCCCCCCCCCCCCCCCCCCCAACACACATAGAGCATCCTGGACCTCACGCTGGAAATTGATGTTCACATCGATAAATCAGTTGACTCGGACTTTACCTTCTTCCCCTCCTCCCCTCCCTTCCTCCACACACACCACAGAGCCTCCTCGAACTCGAATTAGAAATCCTCTCCATCATCCCTTACCCTATAAATTCCCTCAACATTCCCCTCTCCCCCCCTTTCCCCCACTCTCCCACACCACAGAGCCTTCTGGTCCTCTAGCTGGAAATCCTCTCCGTTAAATCACTATAACCTAGCGTCTACTCCCACCCTCCGCCCCTCCCCCTCGCCCCCCATTCCCCCTCCCCCGCACCACAGAGCCTTCTAGATCTGGAGCTCGAAATCCTCTCGGTCATCCTGCGCTCTCAGATCATCACACCCGACGAGGTCCACGTGCCAAGCTGATATTTTGATTTCTTGAAAACCAGCTTGCCTCCCTCTCCTCCCCCCCTTCCAACACACCACAGAGCCTTCTAGATCTCGAGCTCGAAATCCTCTCGGTCATCCCGCGCTCTCAGATCATCACACCAGATGAGGTCCGTGCGTCCCACGAAACCCTCGCCTCTGCCATCGCCACACGCACCGCCTGGCCCGCACTCTCTGCCTCCGCCGGCCGCTTCCTCTTCCTCCTCTCCGACTCCAGAGCCCTCCCCATATACCGCCAAATGTCGCCGTCCCTTGAGGGACGAGTGCTGTTCACCGCGCAGACAGCCGCAGGGGAGGGGGACATCCACAACACGCCGGACCAAGCAGTTCTGATCGTAGAAACGCTAGACTCCCTCGCGGTGGATAAAATCGCCTCTGGGCATCTGGTGGTGTGTCCCGTTGCGCCGATGCGGTCCGAACTGGCGGTGTTCATGTGGGACCAGGCGGTAAGGTCTGGGTGCCAGATCATCACAGTGGCTGATCTGTGGAACGAGCAGACGGAGAAGCCTGTCGGAACGGGGAGCGACGGGACGGAGGGTGGGCTCCCGCGGAGCAGGCGGGGACAGGAAGTGCCAGCACCGTCGTCGTCCTCCTCCTCCTCGGCAGCATGGGAGTTTGCGTCAGTGACGGCGGCCGATCAAGGTTCAGATTCCACAAACACGGGATCACCTTCACAAACGGTATCTTCATCCTCCTCTTCCTCATCTGATTCGTCTTCTGATGGGTCTGTTGGGCTGCCAGGGCCGGGAGGGGCAGGGTTGGGTGGTGTGGACAAGGAGTGGGAGGTGCAGGGGCTGCATGGGGGCCCGCTGCTGAAGCTGCCGCTGCTGGTGGACGGAGGGGAGGGCGTGCAGGCCAAGTGTCTGAAGCATCTCAACAAGGAGGAGTGCGAGAAGCAGCAGTGGGTGAAATTGACTGAGCCTGTTCCTGAAGAGAGGTAGGTAGGTGGTTGGTTGTTTGTTTTAGGAGCCTCTTGGAGGCATGCACTGGGATGAACTGGGCTGATTCCGTACCATAGTTTGGATGGTTTGGACTTCGGAATTTGGATAGTGAGCAAAGCATTTTACGGTACCTGCTGGAAAGTTATGGGTGGTATGGTTGGGGCTTTATGGGTGTATAACCAAGTACGGTCGAATGCTCATCCTTTCGAGAGCTTCTTAGTGCTGGTGTTAGGTTTATTGGCAAGGGAGAGGGGTAATGGCAAGGATCGCACATGCATCATTATGGCGTGCAATCTGATAGGAGTAAGATGCTGTGCTATTTGCCTTCACCACTTTGAACCTTCTCTAAAGTTTAACGACCTGGCAGTGCCAAAGCACATTAATACGAAGATTGCTAAGTCCCCTCTCTCGACACATGATCGTGCCAGTGGTCTAGTGGTAGAACGCCCTTCGTTTTCGTAGTTTGCCTCACCGTCACTCAAGCTCGCTGCAGCAACGTTAAGGCGCTAGAACGCCCTTCGTTTTCGTAGTTTGCCTCACCGTCACTCAAGCTCGCTGCAGCACTGTTAAGGCGCTAGAACGCCCTTCGTTTTCGTAGTTCGCCTTGCTGCTCGCTCGAGTAAAGCAGCAGAACTACCTACTCACCGCTAAGGAGCGAAAACAACGACCTTGCACCTTCTTTTGTACTGTAAATACGCGCCGCAACTGGCAGGCATACACTAAAACTGCGAGAAACCCTACGCTCGACTACCCTGACAGTGCTGCGGACGAAATTCGAATCGTGCTACTACCCTGACAGTGCTTCTCCACGTCGGCACCTCCCTTGGCTCACTTGACAGTCTCACTAGCGTCCGACGCGGAGAGGAGTTCCTTTGGCGACGGCGTGGTTTTTACTAGTAATCGAGCACTGGGAGACAGCACGACGCCTGCCTACACCTGTTTATACCCCCCACAACGACTGGCACCTTCGCGAATTCCCCCACCCTCCCAATCTGCACCTTCCACACACGACTCCACTCCCACCTGTTTCAATTTGCGCAAGCACCAGCACGTTGCACCTCGGCAGCAGCACGACCAGCCCCAACTACTCACGAAAACCTCTTCTGCACTACATATCTCATTGCTGCATCCGCGTTACTACCTCTCCCAAGCGCGAATTTGGCATACTTGTTACACCGCTAGCTGCACTGCATATGAATCTTTCTAATCCTCTTTTTCACCGTGGCAAACCGCAAGCGGGACAGGACGCCTGAAGACCAGGACCCACACCCCTCTCGTCCTCCTAATCGCTCGTGTTCATCCCCACCTTTTGCAGCCCTACCAATTCAACAGCCACATTTACACCCACGTCCGTCATCCCTCCCTACTGACTCTGCCACCACACACCGTTCTTCGACGTTACCAGAATCGGCTACTCCACAACCCCCAGCCTCTTCTTCTCAACACCCTAAGTCATCAGCCCCACCACGCTTCGTTTCAGAACAACAGAAGACTGTACTTCATAAAGTCCTTACTGAAACCTTAGCCCCCCCCTCCCAACAGCACGCTTCCCGCCAACCTGAAACTGCAGCTGCGCCAACTTCACAACCTCCTCCTTCTGCTCCTCCTCCTGCTTCGACATGTGCTCCGCATCCTGCTGCAGCCTCTTCTTCTTCTCCTTTGCCCACTTCGGTCCCGACCCCAACATATTACTGCAAAACCTGTAACCGTAACTTCGCCAGCTCAGGTGGTCTTACTCGCCACCTCTCTGCTTACTCCCGCAACAACATAACGCGTCAGCAATCAGCCCGCCCTCCTCCTCCTCGTGCCACTACTACTCCCTCATCCTCTACAGCACCCCCACCGTTATCTCAACAGACTTGGGATGCTGTCTTAACCTGGGACTGGGGAACGTTCTTCAGTTCCACTGTCACCCCAGGCCCACTGTTGCGTCGGATCCCGCCGCGAGCTCGTCTGCTGGTCTTGGATGCTTTACTCATACCACTTCGCCGCCTTGCCACCTTCCCGCAAGATCCTGCTGCTCATTTCCTCCTCCTTGCTTTCCCCCGTCTGGTGCTTCGCTCTTCCATTTCTCTTGCCTCACAATCAGCCACAGCAGCATGTGCAGCCTTTGCTCGTCGTTTCATTCAAGGCGACTGGCTTTCTCTCTTCAACGAAGCTGTCGCTGCTGCCGTTCCAGCGTCTCGATCGCACAGTGTCTCATCCGCCCGGTCCACAGCCACGTTCGCCCGACTGAACCGAGCCAAACGATTTGCGCATTGCGGGGACTGGTCGCGTTCCCTTGCCGCTTTAGAGGCTGGTGAGCTTGCCCCACCGACCCCTGAGACTGTTACTGCGCTCAAGGCCAAGCACCCTCCTGCTACCAAAGAACTTCCAGACTGGCAGCCCCACGAGGCACAGCTGCTAACCCTTCTGGGTGGCTCATCGAGCATCTTCGTGACACCTTCCTCTCGTACCAGACTCATCTGCCACATCTTCTCCGCCTGTTCCATAATTGGCTGCAAGGCGACCTCCCGCAAACAGTTCGACCTTACTTCACCGCATTCAATCTTGTTGCCCTTCAGAAGCCGCAAGGAGGGGTCCGCCCCATCGCCATCGGTGAGATACTGCCGCGCCTGCTGTCCCGTTGCGTTACTCTTCACTTCAAGCAGCAGATCCGGGACTTCTTCCTTCCCTCCCTACAGTTTGGGGTCGCGGTCTCCGCAAGGATCGAGGTTATGGCCCATGTGGTCCAGTCGACCCTCTCCCTCTACCCAGAGTGGGTTGTGTTGGAACTGGATGTTGCCAACGCCTTCAACTCCTTCAGCCGTTCCGCTATGTTCAACGCCCTGCGAGACTCCCCGTTCTCCAGCCTCATTCCTTTCTTCCGCCTCTTCTACGCCTTCCCCTCTCCTCTCCATTACCACAGCGGCCCATTAATTGAGACACTGCAGTCATCATCGGGTGTTCGACAGGGTGACCCATGCGGGCCATTCTTGTTCGCCCTCACCCAGCACCTAGCCATTCGCCCCATCCAGCGTCAATCTCCAGCTCTTTTCATCACCTCCTACGCGGACGACACGTACATGGTCAGCCCTGCGCATGACGTGTTTCCTGCCTACACAGCGCTCACAGCTCGTCTCAATGATCTGGGCCTGAAGGTGCAACCATCAAAATGCTCCCTCTGGGCCCCTTTGGACCTCCCTTCGGACCTCACACCTCCATCAGACATCATCATTGCCCCTAACGGTCTCACGGTTGCAGGAGTGCCTATAGGATCGGACACCCACATTATCTCCACAGTTCGAGACAAACTGCACTCTTTTTCTTCATCACTGCCTCTCCTGCACGACCTTCATGATCCACAGACTGCCGCTCGCCTCCTTACTCTCTGCATTTCCGCCCGTCCCTCATTCCTCCTCCGCATAGTTGCACCATTTCCCAAGGTAGAAGAGCTTTACACTGACTGGGACAACACCTTGTTGGACCACTTTGTTCGCCTCATCGGCTCTGACTACTGGCCTCCTGCGTTTAACCACACTCCCACAGCACACCGACAGCCATTCCTTCCCATTCGCCTTGGTGGGTTCGGCCTCCGTTCTTCAGCTGCAACTGCTTCTCTCAGTTACCTGTGCAGCTGGGCACAGACAGTTTCACTCCTCTCGTCATGCTTCACCATTCATGGCTCCCCTATTTTCTGTCCCTTCATCACTTCAGACACCATGGACCGCCTTGACCCATGCATTCCCACAGCCATGTCCAAACTCCATCCTACCATTCGGCAGCACTTCCCTACCTGGCCCGCACTTCATGCTGGTTATCCACAGAAGCTATATTCCTATCTTTCACAGCACTTGGAGGCTGTCATGCTCGAGCGCGTGCGATCCACAGTAACCTCTCCCCAACATTTGGCCCGTTTAACCTCCTTACAAGGGCCCCATGCAGGCAACTGGCTTACTGTGGCTCCATGTTCTTCGCATATGCAGCTGTCACCTACGGAGTGGTGTATTGCATCCGCTATTCGTCTTGGCCTCCCCATTCCACACCTCACGACCACCTGCACATGCACTTGTGGCTCGGCATTCACATACCCTTCAGTCGTCTCTCACGTCCTCCGCTGCCCATCCTCTAACGAGCCTACCAGGGTCCCCGACGCCACCAAGCATGAGGTTTATCGCATCACGTCCGAGCTTGGTTACGTTGTACAGCTGGAGGACTCCCACCTTCTTCCAGGTCGTCGCCCAGACATCAGCTGCCGTGACATCAGCTCTGGGACTACGTGGGCATTAGATGTTTCAGTTGCAGACCCCCAGCATGGTCCCCCAAACTCCAAGACTGCATCAGTAATCGGCTCAGCTGCATCTGCTCGCGAAACTGAGAAGCGGACCCTGTATGCATCTTCGTTACAAAACCGCCCAGACGTGAAGCTTCTTCCTCTTGTTCTTGAAACCTTCGGTTGCTTCAGCACGGCATTTCTTAGCTTTATCAAAGACTGCAGCAGACGAGGGGCGACTCGACTTCGTGACATGGGGGGTGCATCTGACCTGATTCCAGAGCTCTTCGAGACTAGCTACTTCAAGGGGATTTCCTTGGTGCACCAGCGTTAGCAGGCTCGAACCATCTGCTGTCGGACACAAATTCGTTACAGTGTTGACACACCTTCCGCCCCACCAGATCCCACCCCACCCTCCTTGGCTGATTTTGCGTACCTTAGTGTTGGTTCTTGAGACCTCATTGGGGGTCTCAACCTAGGGTTGCAGTTGGGCCATTGCTAGTTAGCTAGCCTCCTGTTGCTCAAATCTGTCTGTATCTTTTGTACACATATAAATTGTAAATAAAGTGATAGAATAGCATTCTGCCACAAGCCCGGTGCAGACCTGGGTTCTATTCCCGGCTGGCACAGGTGTCTTTTGATCAGAGCTCTTCTGTGTGCACCTTTTGGACTAGCAGTTTTGCCCGTAGGCTGTCTAGCAGGACGTCCTCCTGGCAGTTTTGTTCCTTCGAAAGTTATGTTGGAAACCAAGGGGCACTTCACAGATGCAAAACCTTTTGTTGAACTCACCATGTAGTGCTCAAATCAGAGGTGGTATCACCGCGAATAAGGAGTTTTTTTGAAGCCTCAGAGAAGGGAGCGCCAGCCACCACTACCACGCAACGGCTCACACCACCAGTCAGCAACTTTTCGGAGAAGCTTGCTAATTTGAAACTCCATTAGAGATGTGCCTGGTATTTGTCACTTCGTTTGGAGCTGAAGGCACGGACGACGCCGGTTCTGAATAATTTGCTCGCTCCTCCCAGAACCTAGTCGCCTTTGTCAATCCTGACCCAGGTCTCCAAGATGCTCGTGCTTTTGAGACGTGTCAAAAGTCGCTCCTCCCATGACCGAGTCATCTCTGTCAATCCTGTCCGTGCTCTCCTAAGATGCTCGTACAATGTAAGTCCTCTGTCAAGTCCCCCACGCGCTGATGCCGTTACGGAAGATACGCATGCATTCTACCAAGTAATAACATAACTACCAAGTAACTTGATGAACGGGATAGAGAACCCACGTTTCCAGGAGGTTCCCAAAGGATCCTTTGAAGAGCGCAGAGCACAGGGTTGGATAGAATGAAACCTGCTCGGTGAGCAGGGACGACCTGGAATGGAGTGCATGTGAGCGACAACGACAACAACAACAAACACTTGACGGGACTTGGGTGGGAACGAAGGCCTTGCTCAAACACGAGCCCAGCCCGGTCGAGGTCAAAGGTTCGTCAAAGGTCGCTGGCGGAAACGCTCATCAGCCGCCGTCGAGGTAAACCGCGGCGCCATGCGTATGGTGAATGTGCATGGCACGGCAATGCCTTCGTCAGGGACGCGATTCGAAACTTAGGACGCGTCACCTATGTTCGATCCCCAGCACCGACCCCGCACAGGTTCATACTTTTGGCGAGGTAGGTTGAAATAGCCTAAACCCTTCATTTCTCAAATTTCAACCCCGCTATAAAACGATCATGCGTAGGGTCGGTGCTGGGATATTAACATAGGTGAGGCGTCCTTACCAGTAAATCCTTCAAAGAGACCCTAAAAATGGTACAGTAACTAATTATTTCTGTGAATCTTGGAAACTTGCTGACATTCCTCCTCAAAGATTCTAGCAAAATCCTCTATTGACAAACTACATCAACACGTACCTGATTCCGGCCCAAAAGAAATCTCTCAATCGGTCAAACACAACAACCAAAATATTCACCAATGAAACAACAAGCCATCCTTAGAATCCCACTGTATCTCCCTTCATTTGACTCTCCCCCTTGCTCTCGCTCTCCCCAAAACACTTCCCCACCTACCCATCTTCCATTCGCTTCAAACCCCACTGCCATGATGCCATCGCACAGCACATAAACAGCTGCTGCCAGCGGAGCGAGATCGTGCATAAGTAAGCTCATTGGATAATAAGCCATTTCACATCTCCACAGATGCCACCAGGCCTCAGAAGCTCCACCCACTTCACAATCCCCCCTTCCCCCTCTCTTCCACAGGTCAGCCCTCCACCTTCGGCCAAACCGCCTGTCTCCACCCCACACCACGTTGAACGCATTCCGAAAATTCTTGACACGAATCCCCATCGCACACCCAACGCAGGTCCCCGCACACAGTGTGAGTGCGCTCCGAATTCCAAGTTCCAACAAGTGCCTAACAGTGCTTCTGCTTCAGCCACGCCAGGCTCACCACAAATCCAGGTGCCACCTCCCCAAAGCTGCTTCCCTCATGTTCTTATAAGACTCCTCAAAAGCACCTAGGCACACCACACCAGATCAAAGCCTGCCTCAAAAGCCGCAATCACTGCCTCCCTGACACCGCCAACAGCACTTCTCCAAGCCCCCCTCACTACCTCCTCTTCTTCTCAACCTTCTTCCCCCCCTTCTCCTTGCCCTTCTTCTCCTTCTCAACCGGAATCACACCGTACGACTGCAGCCGGGACACCGACAGCGCCTGCTTGCCGTCCTTCCCTTCCAGAAGCATCTTCTCATGCCTCTTCTGCTTCCTCGCCAGGTTCTTCTTCACAGCCTTGCTCACCTTCGGACCCGCGTCCTCCCCTTCTGCTCCACCGCCTGCCCCCTGTGCCTGCTTATCCTTCTTATCCTTGTCCTTCTTGTCCTTCTGTTGCTTCTCCTTGTTCTTCTCCTGCTGCCCATGTGCCTTCTCTGCTCCTCCCTCTTCCTGCTGCTGCTCCTGCTGCTTCTTCCTTCTGTTGCGCTTCCTTGCCTTCTTCCCTTCCTCCGCCCCCTCTCCCGCTCCTTCCTCATCCTCCTCCTTCCCCTTCTTCTCCTTCCCTTCCTTCCCTTTCTTCCTCTTTCTCGCTCCCTCCCTCTCCATCATCCCCCCTTCCTCAGCCTCCTCGTCCCCCTCTTCTCCATCCATATCCTCTCCACCCCTCACTTCCACCTCCTCCTTCTCTTCCAATCTGATAAACGGCTCCCTCCTTCCCTTCCCCTTCCCATCCTTCCCCTTCCCCTTCTTCCTCCCCTTCGCCTCCCTCTTCCTCCGTCCTTCCTCATCCTGCTGCGCTCTAAGCGCCGCGCTTAGCACCTGCCGCCGCCGCCACTTAGGCACGACCCACTCCTCGGGCTGGTACGGAGCGAGCTTCTTGAGTGACACGATCTGGTTAAGATCCTTGTCCCTTAGCTGGAGAATCTGATCGACTTTGAGGCCGTAATTGTTGGGCTTTACCTGCTGGTACCTGAAGCGGGTTGGGAGGTCGCCTGGAGGGACGGAACAGGAGGGGAGAGTGGGGGCACAGAGACGACGAGGAGAAGGTAGAAAAGGGAAAGGATTGGAACGAGAGAGGGAGGTAGAGACGACCGATGGTGAGAAAGAACAGCCCTAGGCCTAGGGCTTCATGCTGCATACCTGTACAACAAACGCGGATGCGAGAAAAGAACGCGACAAGGGGGGCTGATGGGCCTTACGGGGTGGGTGGATGGATGAACGTGGGCTTCAAGGGGTTGTGGCACTGGGTTTTTGATGGACGTGGATCAAACAGGGTGCTCAGAGGACGCATATATTCCGCGTGTAGTGAGTCGATTTTTGAGTCGACTCACTACATTGAGGGACGTGGATCAAACAGGTTGCTCAGAGGACGCATATATTTAATCCGCGAGCAGTGAGGTGGTTTTTGAGGCGCCTCAAAGCCATCAAACAGGGTGCTCAGAGGACGCATATATGTAACGAACCCACCAATCACCCACTGCCCACCAATCACCCACTGCCCACCAATCACCCACCGGCACCCACCGGCACCCACCAGCACCCACCAGCACCCACCAGCACTCACCGATCATGTCCTCATAGTCCAGCTTGTAATACTCCTCCAGGCGCTTGTCAAACGCCACCTTCTCCCGCACTGACATCTGCTGCTGCTTCCTCCTCTTCCTCGCACTCCCCCTCCCCCCTTCTCCGCCCTCTTCCTCCTCCTCCTCATCATCTTCATTTTCCTCCATCTCCACATCTCCCTCTTCATTCTCTTCGTCTTCTTCCTCGTCGTCCTCCTCCTCCTCGTCTTCTTTCTTCTTTCCCAAAGAAGCAGAAGCACTGGGGATGAGACCTTGCTTCATGAGCTTCTGGCGCACCGCACCGAACCCCTTGGAACCCACGTTCATCCACCCCTTGGGGAGCCCCAATAGCTCGTCCTCTTTCTCAAAATCCGGCTTTCCTGCCTCCTCTCCTTCTTCTTCCTCCTCTTCCTCCTCCTCTTCTTCCTCTTCTTCTTCTTCCTCTGCCTCCTCTTCCTCCTCTTCTTCTACCTCCTCTTTCTCCTCCTCTTCATCCTCTTCCTCTTCCTCCTCTTCATCTTCCTCCTCTTCACCTTCCTCCTCTTCCTCCTCTTCCTCCTCCTCCTCACTATCATCTTTAGCAGCAGCTGCCTTCTTCCCCTTCTTTACCGTTTGCTCATCCTCCTCTTCCTCCCCGTCCTCCTCCTCTTCCTCCTCTTCTTCCTCTTCTTCTTCCTTTTCCTCTGCTTCTTCCTCCTCTTCCTCCTCCTCACTATCATCCTTACCAGTCGCTTCCTTCTTTCCCTTCTTCCCCTTCGTCCCCTTCTTCCCCTCCTCCTCTTCTTCCTCCTCTTCTTCTTCTTCCTCCTCTTCCTCTTCCTCCTCCTCCTCCTCTTCTTCCTCCTCTTCCTCTTCCTCCTCCTCCTCCTCTTCTTCCTCCTCTTCCTCTTCCTCACTATCATCCTTAGCACTCGCTTCCTTCTTTCCCTTCTTCCCCTCCTCCTCTTCCTCTTCCTCTTCTTCCTCCTCCTCTCCCTCCTCCTCCTTCTTAGCCTCAGCCAACTCCCTATCCTCCTTCCCATAATACTCCTCCCCAAAAGCAGCTCTCATCTTAGCATCAAACAGAACAGGATCAAATTCATCATCAAACTCAACCGATTCCAGCAACTCAACCATCGGCCCCGCCTCCTCCTCCCCCTCCCACTCCTCCCCACCTCCCCACCCACCTCCTCCCTTCCCTTTCCTTCCTTTCCCACCCTTCCCTCCCTTCCCGCCGCCGTCCCCATCTCCTCCGCCCAGCCCAGCAACAAGTTTAATCTTCTGAAGCTTCTCCAGAATGTCTTGCTTCTTGAGGTTCTTGAGCCGTCGCAGCTCCGCCTCTCTCTCCGCCTCCAGAGCTGCACGCCGCTCCGCCCGCGCCTTCCTCGCCCGCTTCCTCGCGTCCATCTTGCGCCGCACCGACCCCTCAATCTCCCTGAAAAATGGTGGGGTGTAGGGGGGGAGCAGGAGCGGAAGGAGGGGGAGCGGGATGGGAAAGAGAGGGGGGCAGGGGGGGCGAGGGGGAAACGGGAGGTGGAAAAGGAGAGAGGGAGGTAGGAAGGGGGAGGGCACGAAAGGAGCCGAGGGGAAAGAGTGAGGGTGCTTCTTGAGGTTCTTGAGCCGTCGCAGCTCCGCCTGCCTCTCTGCCTCCAGTGCTGGAGGGAAGGAGAGTGCAGAAAGGGAGGAGGGGGAAAGGAGAGTGCAGAAAGGGAGGAGGAGGAACGCGAGGGGAAAGGCGAGCAGAAAAGAAAAGTGAAAGAGCTGCCTAGTTTGCATCCCATCCCATCCCATCCCATCCCATCCCATCCCATCCCATCCCATCCCATCCCATCCCATCCCCCTCCCCTTGCAGCGTCCCACCCACCTGGGGTAGGAGGCAACAAACGCCCCACCCGGCTCCTCGTAGCGGAAGTTAAAGAGCTCCTCAAACTCATCCTGCTCTTTGATCTCCTCCTCGTCCTCCTCGTCCACCTCCGGCCCGCCCAACAGCCCCTCGTACCCTGCGTCCTGCCGTGCGGTGAGCAGAAGTGGTGAGGAAGCATGCGGAAGAGTGAGGAAGAGTTTAGTGGGGTTGGGATGGGGCAATATGGAAGGGCTTCTCAGGTACGATTCGAGGCATCAACGGTCCATCCACCTCCTCTCAGGCCATCCCCTCCCCATCACCCCAACACCTACAAACCCACCCATTACGAAAACCATACCTCATCGTCCTCCACCCACCCACTTCCACAGTACGCTCCAGCAGCAGGTACGACTTGAGGTACTGGTCCGCCTCCTCTCACGCCATGAAACCCCTTCCCTCGTCTCCCCGTCCCATCCGCCCCTAACGCCCCTCACATACTCACCTCATCGTCCTGCACACATTTCCGCTCCAGCAGGTACGACTTGAGATACTGGTCCACCTCCTCTCACGCCATGCAACCCCGCTCATCCCCTTCCCATTTCTCCCCATCACCTCACATCACCCCTCCCATACTCACCTCATCGTCCTGCACCCATTTCCTCTCCAGCAGGTACGACTTGAGGTACCGGCAGGCAGTCCGACTCCTTTCACTCCAAACAAAGCATGCCCATCCCCGCCTGCCGTTATTCTCACCTCATCGTCCTGCACCCACTTCCTCTCAAGAAGGTACGACTTGAGGTACTGGTCCACCTCTGTGAGTTGCTCCTCGTCGCGCCCAAAGAACTCCTCCAGCCGCTTCTGCACCTCGCCCTTCACCGCCGGGTCGCCCCACCCGCCCGCCTCCTCCTCCCCCTCATCCTCCTCCTCTTCCTCCTCGTCCTCCTCCTCTGCATCCTCGTTTTCGGCGCCTTTCTTGGCCTTTTTGCCGCTCTTCTTGCTCTTCTTGGACTTTTTGACTCGCAGCAGCTCGTCCTCCTCGCCCTCCTCAGCTGTGCCCCGTGACGGAGAAGGGCACGTTGAAGAAGGGGAAAAGAACACAGGGAACAAAAGAGCAAAAAACAAGGGAGGGGAGAGAGAGGTGGAGGGAAGGGGGAGGACGAGAGAAGTGAGAGAGGGCGGAAGAAGAGGAGGAGCGAGGGGAGAGAGCGAGGAAAGGCGAGGGGGACGGAGAGCAAATGAGCGAGGTGAAAAGTGGGGGAGTAAGGGAAAGAGATGGAGGAATGCGGACTAGGGAAGTAGACGTACAAATCACGCAAAAACCTTTCCAGACATTCCAGGAGATATCTCGCTGCAATCTGCTGTGCTTCTTGGATCAGATCAGCCAGAAGGACGGCTCGACAAGCCCACCATAACGCTTCGAGAGTGCGAGAGTGCGAGAGTGCGAGAGAGCGAGAGAGCGAGAGAGCAAAAGCATCGATGGCTCGTTTCTGGTTCATCATGATTTTAGAGCGTTGTCTTTGAGTCCTCAAAAATCGAATCAGCGAGCCAACAGCCAGAAGAACGATAGAAAGGGCGTCAAGACTTTGAAGCTTGCTCGCCATTGGACGCGCCACAGGGATCGTCAGGCTTTTCATGAAACCCCTTTTGTTGATGAAGAAACCAGCCAGCCACTGTAACTGGCCCGACTTTCGCCGTTAAACCCGGTCTCGGTTTACTAGAAGAGATCGGGAACGCGCGCAAAACCCGTGGCCTTAAACCCCGTCTCTGAACCCGGGTTCCGCGAGAAAATATAAAACCCTGAACCCTTGCCTCATCCACTTGGGTATATACGCACCTCGTGTGCACGACACTCGCGCACACATTGGACGCCTCTGACTCCAATGTCAGAGTCACTCCACGCACTGCATGGGAGAATCACGTGCGTGGAAACCAAGCCTTGAGGCAGCCTTCTAGCACTAGCCACGCGCACTGGTTGGATATGCCCCAACCTACACGCTACTTGCGCATCTCCCTCGTACACACCCACCCGCCTCCCCTCCCCGCGCGCCCACCTGCCTGCATCCCCGCCGTCGAGGAACGCCTTCTTCAGCTTCAGGAGAGAATCGCGCCCGCCCACCCAGCCAACCCCTTGAGGGGGCAACGCCTACCCTCCTAAACCCACCGCGCAACCAGCCAACCGCCCACCCACCCGTCCACAGACCTGCATCCGCGCCGTCGAGGAACGCCTTCTTCAGCTCCTCCTGCTCCGCAAAGTACCCCTTCCGCGACGGCCGCTCCCCGTCGCCGCCGTCATCCTCGTCGTCGCTAAGCCCGACGCCGTCGATCGCCTGCTGCGCCAACACGTCCTTAAGATAAACCGCCTTGGCCTTTTTCTTCTTCTGCTTCTTCTTCTCCTTCTCGTCCTCCTCCTCGTCCTCTTCGTTCCCCGCTTCCTCTCCCCCAGCTTCCTCCTCGCCGTCCCCCTCCCCTTCCCCTTCCTCCTCCTCCTCTTCCTCCTCCTCCTCCCCATCCGATTCGAAGAGGTGTTTACCAGGTTTAAAGATCTCCGGATCCTTGTTCTTAATCCTCGTAAGGGCCTGTACGAATTTAACATCCTGGTCCAGGCGAAAGAGATGCTCGTCCCTATCGTCCTCCTCCTCCTCGCTATCCTCCGCCTCTCCTTCTTCCGCCTCCGCCCCCCCCTCCCCCTCCCCCTGCGCCTCGTCATTCCGCCCAAACCGGCGGTCTTGCCCCCAAGATCCGCCAAAACCCCGTCCCCTTCCGCCCCATCGACCGCCTCCCCTTCCGCCTTCGCCCCAGCCTCTTCCGCCGAATCTTCCGCCAGCGCCGCGGCCTCTTCCGCGGAACCCCGAGCTTCTTTCCCCCGAGGGCAGGTACCCCGCCTTTACCTTCTCCTCCAGTTTGTGCATCTCCTCGCGCCGCTTGTTGTACTCGAGGCGCTTCGCGTATTCCTCGTTGATGCGAAGCTCGAACTCTTCGCCAACGTAACCCTTCGCGACCGCCACCTCATCTTCGTGATCGTCGTCGAGAAGCATCTTCTTCGGGGGCTCGGACTCCTCCGCCATGGCGGCTGCTGTGCGAGTTCTCGCGAGACCCTGCGTGCGATTATTTCCTGACAGACGAAACCCGCCCAATAAGTCCTCGGTACACTAGTCAGCAATATAGAGATCTCCGTTACAATGCACGCGAGCACTGCGCGGGTTGAGCAAACATCTATTGCCCAGCAGAGAACGGCCACACCCACGCCAGAAGGCAGGTCTGGGTTTGGTTTGGTAATGGTGAACAAGGGTGTGTGAGCAAAGGTTGAAGGGGTGGCATTTATACAAGGGTTTCTAGGAGGTTGTGGAAAGGAGCAGCCACAAATGTTCGCCGTCAAACCTAGCAGCAAGCAGGGTTTAGGGCAGAGGAGGGCTCGGCAGAAGCTGTTCGTATACATTCTCAGAAGCCTTTAGAAGATGAGGAACTAGTTTGAATATTATTGGTTCATAAACAAAAAAGGGTAAAACTATATGCCTATGAACAAATTATATACATGAATGGATCTGATTGCGTAGCTACTTGCAAATCAGCTGCCGAAACGTCATGCCACCATTGAGTCAATACATCCTCTCTATCACAAAAGCTGCAGAGGAAACAAGGTAGGAAGCAATCACAGTGGCGATAAGATACGAAAAGGATTTGATAATCACAGTGACAAGGAATAGATGCCAGCGAAGGGAGTGGAGGTGGAGGAGGGGCGAGGGGGGGGGGGGGGGGGGGGGAGGAGAGAGTGGGGGTGGGCAAAACAAAGGCAAAAAGGGGGAAGAAACTTGACAACAAAATACATGGAGGCCACTGTTGGTGATGGTGAACGGAAACGAGATTTGAGGCGCCATGGGTGCTTTCGCAATATGCAAGACACGGTGGGAGCCTGCCAATGAAAAGAATTCAGGCAAAGCAGAGGCAACAAGAGGTGGTTGAATAAGGCTTTCCCAGAAAATATCTCTTTGTCCAACGATTGGTGCACTGTCTTCATTCACATCTTCACATCTCTCTTTGTCTGCAAATCCTTGTACCACCAGGTGCAAGTAAACACATGCATGAATGTATACAAACTTATGTGTGCATGTATGCAACGATGTATGTATGCAACGATGTATGTATGCATGTACCAGAAGCATGGGTGACGGTGGAGAGCAGCAGGCGCACATTCACGCAGTGAGACCACTTGGCACCCAACGCTGCTCTCCTGCCGTCCATCTCTGGGAGGGAAGAGACGGGAGGACGAGGAAAGGAGGAAGGGATAGGAGGACTGGTAAGGCGCCTCAAAAGCAGCAGGCGCACATTCACGCAGTGAGACCACTTGGCACCCAGCGCTGCTCTCCTGCCGTCCATCTCTGGGAGGGAAGAGACGGGAGGACGAGGAAAGGAGGAAGGGATAGGAGGACTGGTAAGGCGCCTCAAAAGCAGCAGGCGCACATTCACGCAGTGAGACCACTTGGCACCCAGCGCTGCTCTCCTGCCGTCCATCTCTGGGAGGGAAGAGACGGGAGGACGAGGAAAGGAGGAAGGGATAGGAGGACTGGTAAGGCGCCTCAAAAGCAGCAGGCGCACATTCACGCAGTGAGACCACTTGGCACCCAGCGCTGCTCTCCTGCCGTCCATCTTTGGGAGAGAAGCGAGACGAGAGGTGAGGAAGGGAGGAGAGGACGTGGCAGCAGGCGGGAAGTGGGGGCGTAATCAAAGAGCTGGAGGGGACAGGAGGCAGAACGCTGGTCACGAGTGAGAAAATAAATGCCCAAGGACTTTTGAGGGGTGGAGCGATGGAGAAACAGTCTCTAAAAACTGAAGCGGGAACATAACCAGGGTTTCGGGAAGAATGCGGGTCACGGGATAGGAGAGAAATGGTGCATGATAAGTGGGGTTCCTGCACATGGGTGCAGAAGAAATGCGGTGACCCGAAAATAAAAACTTCAGGAGAGCACTTGGGTGCAGTAGTGATGAGCATGAGTCATATTCTGTGTGGCACTCTACTCCACAGAAGCGGGCAAGGAGTTATTGTTGCATGGAGAGCGCAATCGGCAGAAGCATGCAGACACACACAATCAAGGCGTTACTGCAACAATGCTCACTTATGATCACTGGAAAATAAAAAAATAAAAATAAAAAATGGTGGCCTCATTTTGCCTTCTCTCGTCTGCTACTCAGCATCATAGGTTGTACTACAAATGTTTCTCTTTTGTTTCTTTTCATTCCTTTTACAGGTTCGTTTTTTTCTTCAAGTGGCCTAGTGATCTGAAGAAGGGCCCTCACCATTTGATGCAGGAGGACCGGCAGAGCGAGAGGAAGAGGAGGAGAAGGTCGCTGAGGCAACGTGGTTAGTAACAAGCACGGGCAGACAGAAGCTCTCTGCCAGGTACCTTGTCCACACAGGGGAGAGCAGAGTCGAATGCAGGAGTTGGGAAGGAGGGGAGAAAGCGGGAAAGGGGGTTTGTGATGAGCACAGGCAGACAGAAGCTTTCTACAAGGTACCTTGTGGCGTGGGCATATGTGGGAAAGTATATTAGAGTGCAGTAGAGGGGTGAAAAATGAGAGAGGGGCACAATGAAGGTGGGAGGGGATGATGGAGGTGAGAGGAACAAAGAGAAAATGCAGCAGGGAAGTTTGGTAGGGTGGAAAGGGGAGAGTGGTTGGAGGGTTGGAAGGTAGGAGGGACGGAGGGGAGGAGGGAGAAGCGGGAGGCAAGAGCGTCTTGAAGAAAGGGCGTCTCACTTGAGCTTTGATGCTTGATGGGAGAGCAGCTGCTGCCTTTGAATGAGATTATCCGCTCCAAACTCACTGACGCCCCCCCCCCCCCCCCCCCCCCCACACACACACAAACACCCACACACCCACACACACACACACACACAATTTGCATGTACGCACACACAAGCGTGCGCGCACGCCTACGCCTACGCACATGCACACAGCACATGTCACCTCACATGCACACAACAGCATGACAAGAGAACCTATGCCTTGTTGCTTGGTCAAACGAGAAGCAAAGATTGTGTGAGCAGAGAAAACAATCGACTCCCTCAGAGCAGAGAAGCGAACCATCAACGCATGCTTTGCCTCAGAAGTACAGACAAACGACTCCCTTCTCCCGACGCTAGCCTCGCATGCGTGGAGTGGACAAGGCGCAGCAGGTGGCAAACACAAGCTAGGCCCACAAGGGCGCACAAGGGCACACTCACATGCGCACAATGGCGGCAATGCTGTCGATGATTATGAGCCGCGTGCTGTTGCCTGCTAGCGACGTGTGTAGATTGGCTATTCTGAAAAGGGGGGGATAGATGGGTGTGTGCAGGGGACAGGGGGCAGGGGGCAGGGGGTAGGGAGCAGGGGGCAGGGGGCAGGGGGCAAGGGGCAGGGAGGAGGGGGCAGGGGGCAGGGGGCGGGGGGCAGGGGGCAGGGGGCAGGGGGCAGGGGGAAGGGGGCAGGGGGAAGGGGGCAGGGGGAATGGGGTAGGCGGGTAGGGGGTAGGGCAAGAGGGCAGGGGAAAGGAGCGCAGGGGGCAGAGGACAGGGGGCAAAGGTCGTTACATTCGAGACCTAGGTTCAAAATTACGACCAAATTATTGAAATTATACCGTATAATACGGAATCGTATTAAACGATCGTATAATACGGTTTAAAACAGTGGTTTATTGTTTTCTTTGTCTGGTTCAAAAATACGACCGTATAATTCGACCGAAAATTTAAAACCGAGTCTGTGTATGTCGGAAATCAACATTTCACACGCATGATTCTCCGAAAGTCAAATTTCTCTGACAGCCGTACACACGAATGTGTTATTTTCCCGAGTCGCGACATTCCAACATTTGGCGAACAGTACCCATTCGATCCCACGTTTCGTTTTTTCCGTTAAACATTTTCGCACGGCGGATATTTTTTTTCGCGCGTGGTCGCGACACATCCAAAAGACGCGATGCAAACCTCTCCAACCAATCAGAATACATCCCGTGAGCTCAACCTGTTCCCAAACCCACTCGACACAACACGCCCAATTTCCACTACGAGGTACTTAGGGGCTTGGTTTAGTCACTCCTGCACATATTCAAAGCATAGCTCTAGACTAGTCTTCACTGTACTCCACCACCCCGCGTGCCAGTCAGGACATGCGCCATGGCGAGGCAGAAATCGCCACTGTGGAAGCACGTTACGACGGCTAAGGGACCAGACGGCGCTTTAACGGCGAAATGCGTACACTGCAGCGAATCCGTGACTGCTAATGCAACACGCATTGGAGAGCACATATATGGGACGCCGAAGGACAAAGATAAGAACGTGACACCGTGCGCCCATGAAGTCGCCATCAAACTTCGCGAGGAAGCAGCAGCATCTAGTTTGCGTTCTGGAAGCGCCACTCCGTCAATCCATGGCTCCACTTCAAGCCTTGACATCCAACCCACTCGTCGCGCTCGGCAGCGGGACATCCGCGACATGGTGGATGACTCTGCACGTGCTTGACTGGACTGCCTCTGGGCCGCTGCAGTGGCTGATAACGATTGGGCGTTCCACACGTCCAAGTCACCAGCCGTGCAGAACTTTGTGGATGCGGCTGTCAAACATATATGCAATAGTCTATCTAGGCTGTAGTGGGGTAATTTTTATAGGGTACAACACTTTTAGGTTTCCTACTTGTACCCACCTGTTTGCTAGTTCAATCATTCATTCGGTCAAGATTCTAACATGGTATTCTGAGTAGGTTCCCTCGTGGGAACGTTTTTTTTTAGGGCCCACCACGAACATTTTTTTTTCCTGCCCTGCCCGAAGCGCGCCTCGCGCCTGCCTTACCTGCGCCGTCGCGCGCCCTTCTCTAGCTGGCCCGTCGCGGCCCTGTCTCAGCCGGCCCGTCCCGGCCCGTCGCTGCCCGTCGCTGGCCCGTCGCCACGCGTCGCGGCCCGGCCTTAGCCGCCCACTGCGGCCCCGTGCCGCCCGTCGTCGGCCCGTAGCCGCCCGTCGTCGGCCCGTTTGCCACCCGTCGCGGCCTCTGCCCAGAAGCCGCCCTGTCGCGGCCCTGCCCTGCTGCCGCCCCAGTCGCGGCCCTGCCGTCGCCGCCCGTCGCGGCCTCTGCCCTGCAACCGCCCTGTCGCGGCCCTGCCCTACTGCCGCCCCTGTCGCAGCCCTGCCCTGCTGCCGCCCCTGTCGCGGCCCTGTCTTCGCCGCCCGTCGCGGCCTCTGCCCTGCTGCCGCCCCTGTCGCGGCCCTGCCCTGCTGCCGCCCCGGTCGCGGCCCTGACCTAAACAGCTAGGTGCGACCTTGCCCTGCACCCGCCCCTGGTAAGCACCCGCGCTGCCCTGCCGCGCCGCGCCGCCTGCTGCCGCGCCGCGCCGCCAGAACCGAGCCGCGCCGCCCTGCCGAGCCGCGCCGCCCAGCCGAGCCGCGCCGCCCCACCGAGCCGCCCCGCCCAGCCGAGCCGCGCTGCTCTGCCGAGCCGCGCTGCCTTTCTGCTTGCACTGCTTCTGCTGCCACTACTGCTATTGCTGCTACTACTGCTACTGCTGCTACTGCTGCTGCTGCTACTACTGCTGCTATGGCTAGCCCTACTGTTCTCACCTTTGATGCTGAAGGACGTGCAGTTGACTTTGAAGTATGGGTTGACGACCTCCAGCTCTTTCTTCAGTGTGACTCTAGGGATGGGGAATCTTTTTTCGATCACACGTCCGGTGTCTCTACTGCACCTGCTGCCACTGCTGACAGTACTGTTCACTCGCAGTGGCCCACTCGTGACGCTGTTGCTCGCCTTGCTGTTCGTAGTCATCTGCCGCCTGCTGAGCGCGCGCATTTTGGCCAGTACAAGGCTGCTAAGTCTTTGTACGACGCTGTAGTTGCGCGCTACTCCTCCCCTGCCACTGCTGCCCTCAGCCGCCTCATGCTGCCGTACCTTTTCCCTGACCTTGCCGCCTTTGCCACAGTTGCTGACCTCATTACTCACCTCCGCACTAGTGACGCCCACTACCGCGCTGCTTTTCCCACTGAGTTCTGTGCCAAGAACCCCCCCCCCATGTACATCACCCTTTACTACCTAGTCACCCGCCTCCCTGGCTTCCTTGCTTCAGTTAGGGACCATTTTCTCTCCCTTTGCCCCACCGAGCTCACTGTCGACCTGCTAGAGGAGCGCCTCGCTGCAGCTGAGAAGAGTATCTTAGCTGTAGGTGCTTCTCGCGGCAACCGTCGCACCTCTTTCTTTGAGGGGTGTTCCCCTGTCCCCCTTCTCCCCTCTGTTGCTTCTGCTGCTGCTGTTGACCTCTTGGCACTGAGAAGGTCGGGGCTGCGTCTGCTCTCAGTGGGAGGCGCCGCAACAGCAAGGGCAAGGGGAGCAAGGGTGGTGGACGGGAAGGCGGGGGCGGCGGCGGAGGCGTTGGAGGAGGCGTTGGAGGAGGCAGAAGGGGTGGCGGTGGAGGTGGGGGTGGTACCGGGAGTGGGGGCTTCAATGGCGGCGGTGGAGGTGGTGGAGGCAGCGGCGGAGGTGGTGGAGGCAGCGGCAGCGGTGGTGGAGGCAGCGGCAGCGGTGGTGGAGGTGGCGGCGGCGGTGGTGCTGGTCGAGGTGCAGCCGTGCAGCGTGGAGGCTTTGGTGGTAGCCAGCGCCAGTAGCAGCCGCGTTCCCGTGAGACCCCG